GGGTGTAGGGTCCTAATTTCTGCATCTCCAACAACTTGGTGTTTTATATTCTGCCCGGTGCTCTTACTGTTTTTATAACTTTCATGATTTAACTTTTTTTTTTTTTTCCTGTACTGGAGATTGAACCCAGGGCATTATACCACTGAGCTATGTCCCCAGTCCTAATTTTTTATTCTGAGACAGGCTCTTGCTAAGTTGCTGAGGGTCTGAGGGTCAAACTTTCGATCCTCTTGCCTCAGCCTCCCAAATTGCTGGGATTACAGGTATGTACTACCGTAACCAGCCTATGACTGCTTTTTTTTTTTTTTTAAATATTTATTTTTTAGTTGTAGTTGGACACAATACCTTTATTTTATTTATTTATTTTTATGTGGTATTGAGGATCGAATCCAGAATTTCGCATGTGCTAGGCGAGCACTCTACCACTAAGCCACAACCCCAGCCCGTATATCTCCTTTTTAAAAAGATCTTTTTAGGCCTAAGTTGCATGACCTTTTTTCCTCTCAAATTATTTGATACTGAATTTCATATTCTCTGGATATTAATAAAATTATTAATTTATATTGAATATACTGTCAGAGTGAACAAGAACATATTTATTTGCTTAAGAGTTGAAACATAGCTGAGTGTGGTGGTGCTTGACTGGAATTCCAGCAACTCAGGAGGCTAAGGCAGGAGGATGCAAGTAGTGGTCAAAATGCAAGTATTTGAAATCCAACCCATCTTGAATATAAAGCACACAATGCAATTTACCTGATACCCACGGACAAGGGTGGTCTTTAATTCTTTTAAAACATACTGCAGAAAGTGCACACCAAGATCTTCTATTATTTTTGTGAGTGTGCTGCGCGCTATGTCTCTGATTTCCTGTGCTCTGTTCTTGAGAAGAGCACACACTTTCAGCAAAATACTAGAAAATAAGAAGTTGAAAAACGATCAATCAATAAACACACAAAAATACAAATATCATTCTATCTCTTAATTACTTATAATGCTAGGTTTCCCTTAGTATTCAGAAGTACAGCAAAGTATGATAGTACCTCTCTTCTTTGTAACAAAAAAGATTGAAAAATTAGGAAGAAAAGAACCAATATTTGAGGTTCCCTGAATTTGTCACATACATACCTTGGCAGATTAGCTTCCATGACCTCTTGTGGAAGGGACTGCATCAGTTTAACCATGGCAAAAGCTAAAGGGACTCGAACCACTTCCTCATCATTCACAATCTTGGACTTGATAAGCTTGTGTTCTTCTTCTCTTTTAGTCTATAAAAAATTTCACGTTAAAACAAAAATAAGGATGAGAGCCCTGCTTACACTGTAACTCTGTATTTGAAAGACAAGCTCTTTTCATGTTTAAGCCCATGTCTAGCTGTCTTTAAAAAAACTAAAAGTTGTGTCAGTTGGAACTTTCAAGTGTTTGTGTAACATGGTTGGTACATGAAAAATATGCCTCCAATAGAGAAGGTTTATTTACAAAGATACAAAATGACCAAGTCAATACCTTATATTAGCAATTGGCAAACTTTTTTGTAAAAGTTTTGTGAAAAAAAAAGCATTTGGCCTTGTAACCCTGCTGTAGTAATGCAAAACCAGGATTAGATTACATGGAAACAAATGGGCATGTGTTCCCATAAAACTTTATAAGTACATCGATGTAGCACAGAGACCAGAATTTGGGGGCTCAAAGTTTTACAGTAAAGAGGAAAGGCTCTAGCTTCATGAATATGCACTGCTAAATGTAATTCCTCTTAACCAGAGGAGATGAATTTTAAAGTAGAAAATGGAAACACTAATTTTTAGTTAGCTTTTTTTGGAAATGCGAGTCATCTTAACATTTGCTTCAGAGATAGAAAAAGCATCTATCTAGCATAGCAAAATCAAAACGCCAGGCCATTACTGACTGACTAGCTACAGCAGGAAATGAGACTGAAACTGATGAGAGAAGGGAAGGGAATTATAAAATGTTGAGGTACAAGGAAACTCAAGCTGTGTGTGATGGTGCAGCCTATAATTTCAGCTACTCTTAGGCTGAAGGGGGAGGATTCCAACTTCAAGGTCAGCCTGAGCAATTTAGAAAGTCCCGGACTCAAAATAAAATTAAGAGGCAGGGGATGTAGCTCAGTGGAAGAGTGCCTCTGGGTTCAATCCCAGGACTACAAAAAGAAAGAAAGAAAACAAAAACAAAAAACCCCAGAAAACCCCCCAAACCTAACCCCCAAAGTCACTTTAGGAGCCTGGTGTGGCAGTGCCTCACTAGCACCCAAGTTCCTACAGACCAGCCTGGCCCCAAACAGAGTTATTACCGTAGATGAGAGGCACTTATGTAGCCTGGGGAGGATATCCCCAGTTATGGTTCCATGGATAGTTTTAATTGTTCTCTCCAATTCTTCCTTATTCCGAGGAAGGAAAGAGACAGACTTTGTGATACAGTCGGATTCCTTAGCCTCTGTCCCATCAGAGTCAGCTGGATCAGGGTGTGCAAGAGTTTCACTGTTGTCTAACAACCCCTTGGATGTATTTTCTTTTTCTTCCTCATTCATGTGCTCGAATTCCATGGCTTCAGACTCTGGTAACTCAGTCATTTCTACTGTATCTACATTTAATAATAAACAAACAACAAAAGTCACCTTAAATCGAATGAGGAAACAGCACAGTAATGTTTTCCATGAACATCTAACATCCAATAAAAACATCTGATCTGATCTCCAAGTATAGAAAGGCAAGGTTAAGTACCAAAGAAGCAGCAGGCAGTGAAAGGCCTATTTTTTGCTTTCTCAAAATTTAGAGTCTAATGAAGGGCACAGACAAGTAAACTGGCAGCTATGAAAGAATGTTGAATAGTCAGGACAGGATTACTTGAACACCTATTTGGGGAAAGGGGATGGGGCACACTGGGAAAAAAATTCTTAGGTGAAAGAAAGCTTCCTGAGTCCTGTGGTTGTTTCCATAAGCAAAAACTTCTATTCGTGGGCATGAACACCATAATAGCAGCCAATCTTTCCCATGCAGAAATTTTTCTTATTCCAGGATTCAATTTATTAAAGGAAATTGGGCAGTACAGTATTGTGGGACAAGTCTAGATTTGATCCTGCTAACAAACTATATGATCACAGTCAATCAGCATGACTCCAATGGGCTTTGGCACCAACCTTGCAAGGCTACTGTGAGAATTAAATGAAATAAAGTCTACAATTAACTAAAACATGTCAGACATGTTAATGGCAAAAGACAGGAGCATCAATCTTTTTTTTTTGCTTACCTGCTATATAGCTTTGGAAATGTTACTTTATATTTCTGAATCTTAGTTTCTCGTATCAAAAATATGGGGTAACTAATACCAAGAATCTTGAAAGCTTCTTATCAGAACAAATGAGATAATGTCTATAAAACCTGGCTCAAAGCAGATGCTCAATAAAGATTTCAAATTTCATTACACCCCTTTTCCCATTCTTTAAAAAGACCACTATTTTGTGGACCATGGTGCTCCACTTGTGCAGTGACGACTTAGGGTAATTTTGGGGCCTGGTAGTGATCAGCAGGGCAGGGCTCTTGGCTGCATCATAATGTGACAGTCTTTTATGTTGTTTTACCAGTATCTGATATGAGCAGTACAGAAGAGATTACTTATGAAGGAAAACAAAGGGAGAAGAGCTATTTTGAAGGACAGGGACCTTATGGTAAGTTGATGACTGTTTTGAGGGAGAGGATTTGTTTTGTACAGCACCTGGAGCCACTGCTAGTCTTCAGAGATGAATCTCAACATGTGTTTTCTAAAGTGATATGAATCTAATCCAAGGAAAGCAAGTCTTTCTATTGACTTCCCTAACTTTTTAGATACTTGGAATCAGCCTTTGCAAGTAAGATATTTTATTTGTTATTTGACATCCTTACCAGGCAGAGGTTAGATCTCATCACAGCTATGCCTCATATAAGAAGAAAAGTTTTTTTCCAAAAACAACTAAAATTATATAAATAAATTAATAAAATATCCCAGTGAAATATTTCTTAAGGACAAAATTATTTTCTATAAATAAAAATAAAACAAAACCTGAATACTGTCACCAGGAGTTGGCAATCATTTTCAAAAGAGATTTCAGACAACTATTAAATGGAGATATTAATGGCACAGGGTCAACAGCACAACAAATAAGAGAGCCAAACTTAGGTGTCGCACATTATTTAGTTCAGACAGCATAACCAGATTTCAATTATCTTTTAAATATACTACATGGATTTGGGTACCACTAAACTTGGATAATTTGAGCTAGTTTAGAATAGAGAGAGTAACTAAACTCTCTAAGAAGAAATAGTTAAGTAAATAAATATTTTTAAATTAACAAATATTTATACTTATGCAAAATTGCCAAAGGCAGATTTAACTGATTAAAGAAAACAGTGCCGTGGTGTGCAGTGGTGCATGCCTGTAAACCTGGTGACTCTGGAGGCTAAGGAAGGAGAAACACAGGTCTGAGGCCAGCCTGGGCAACTTTATACCACCTCAAAAAAAGGGGGGTGGCGGCTGGGGATACAGTAGTAAGGTAGAGCCCTGGATTCAAACCCCATTATTAAAACAAAACAAAACAAAAACTAAACGGAGGGGTAGAATATTCCTCTGTCTTTAGCCAAAATAATTAGGATAAGCATCTTGGCCTATTTGAGTGCTAATTTTTTTTTTCTTTCATATTTCTATACTGACTAGAACCTATAGTTCAATGTTCAGGATAAGCAGCATCAGGTATTATTCCCTCATGCTGTTTCTTTCTTTCTTTTTTTTTTTAATATTTATTTTTTAGTTGTAGTTGGACACAATATATCATTATTTTATTTATTTATTTTTTTAATGGGTGCTGAGGATCGAACCCAGGGCCTCGCACGTGGTAGGCGAGCACTCTACCGCTGAGCCACAATCCCAGCCCCCCTCATGCTGTTTCTTAAGTGATAATTAAATTTATACTTCTTTATCCCTGAGTAAGATGTTGCATTGGGTTTTTATTTTTAAAAAACGTGGAACGCTTCACGAATTTGCGTGTGATACTTGCACAGAAGCCATGCTAGTCTATCTTATTCCAATTTCATTATATGTGATACCCAAGGAAGCACTTGCATTAAGTTTCTAAAACACATCTTTTGCTTGAGTATATATGAAATTTAATCAAATATTTCCCTGGGGTCTACATAGACAATCATGTTTTTAAATATGCTAATGTGTTAAAGCCCACTGACTGCTTTTCTAGGAGCGAGCAAACACTGCATTCCTTGAATAACCAGCCATGGTTATGGTTTTTAATGTTTTTTATCACTTAACGGAATTTCATCTGTAAATATCTGGTTTAGGATTTTTATATCCATGTTAATGAATGAGACCTTGTGATACTCCATTCTCAGAGTACCTGTGCCAGTTTTAGGTATGTAATTATGCCAATTTTGTAAGTTAGTGGGGACTTCCTCTTTTTTATTCATTTAAAAGAGCTAGTAAGTTTGAAATTACCCATTCTTAAATATTTGCTTAAACTTGCTGATACAACATTCTTTACCTGGCATTTTCATCGGGAGATGCTTAACTATAGACTAGTTTCTTTATTGGTTAGAGATCCATTCAGATTTTTTATTTTATTCTAAAGTCAGTTTTCTTCAATTTTCCTACTATATTTTTGCTAAGAATATGTATATCCCACCCATGTTTTCAAATTTATAAATACATATATTATCTTACTTTTTGCATTTAATTGTTATCCTTTTTAGTTCCTAATATTGTTTATTCTGTCTTCTATTTCCCCTGGTCAATCTTAGCAGACATTTGTCAGTTTATAATCTTTTCAAATACCAAAGTTTTGTTTGATCCCCTCTAATGTATCTTTTATATTTCACTAATTGTTGCTTTAACATTTTTTTCCTTTTCTTACATTTGCTTTGCTTTCATTGGTTAATGGTCTTTCTATATATAAAAGTGATGGACTTCTAGATAAATAACCTGAAGTTCAAATTAATTTCTTTACTAATAAATTTTAGATTGGCTTTCTTCACAGTTAAATAAGTTTTTGTTTTGTTTTGTTTTTAAATAAACCATTCATTTTAACTTTCTCCTGATCCATTAACTGGTCATTGCTGCAAAGAACAGAAAAAGGACCTAAGTTCAATTTTGACACCTTTAATTCATAATCATAAATGATCAAAAAATACGGGATGAAAATCTAGTTTAAGAAAGCTTTACAAACTTACTTTCTTCATCCTGAATTTTCCCCATTTGTTCTTCAAGAGTTTTATGGTCAAAGTGGAATGCTTCTAACACTATTACTAGCAAACTGTTAAAAAAAAGATATACACATTTTCATTTGATTACCAATACCATTTGACTATTAAAGTTAATGTAAAGTCATAAATATTAAAATTACTTTTACTAGTCTTTGTTTTTACTTTAAACATTACTATAACCTTATTAATACAATGTAAAGAGATTAAAGACAAATTCAAGAAATAATTTTAAGATTATATTAAATAAACAAAAATAAGAAGTTTGACAATACCTGACACCCAACTTTTGATTGATCTGTCCTGACTGTAAGACATGAATGAAATGTTTCAAGTAATATACATATGCTGACCAAGAAAGATGTCTGCAAATAGCTCCAATAACTTCTATGGCAGCAATGGTTATATTTTCATGCTGTAAAATAAAAACAGCATAAATGTAGAACAAGTATTGGCTGATGGCCTACTAAAAAGCTTACACAGTACATGATTAGTAATTATAGAAAGGGGAGAACATCCAAATGTCCCAATTATACTCCATATTTCTTCTTCTGATTCCAGGAAAAAAACGCATTTAAAGGAGTGACAAATTCCTTTAACAGATATTATTAACTCTTTTCCACTCAGACCTCCCTAAGTGGTTCAAGACTAGATATAGTGAACGAAATCTATTTAAGATACAGAAGTAGACAAATATTGGGGCTCAGATGTAGCACAATGGTAGACTGTTTAGCATATGCAAGGTCCTGGGCTCAGTGGCTGGCACTGAAAAAAAAATTGACAAATATCAAAAACTATACACTACATTGCTCTTAGCAATCAAAACTACACTATTTTAGCTGGGCACAGTGACACACACCTGTAATCCCAGCAGCTCAGGAGGCTGAGGCAGAAGGATCGTTAGTTCAAAGCTAGCCTCAGCAACATAGGAGACCCTATGCAACTCAATGAGACCTTGTCTCTAAATAAAAAATAGAAAAGGGCAGGGGATATAGCTCAGTGGTTGAGTGTCCCTGGGTTTAATTCCTTGTACCAAACAACAACTACAACAAAATGCTGTCTCAGAAACATCACTAGAAAAGGAGACAAAAATATATGAAGCAACACTTTTCATACTCTGAACATTAAACAGAATGGGAGAACAGAACAGTGATCTCTGAGAGTAAAGAAACATGAAGTGAGTCTTGTAATTACACAAACTTACTATGTGCAGAGAACTGCAGTCACAAACAGCACAGGAAGGTAAAAGAATGGCCCAGTGATCTCCCTGAGTTAAGGAGACAGAGCTGAGGCTACGGTAATAAGCCCACAAGCGCAGATTACCAGAGGAAGAGACATATACACAGAAAGCCCCTTGAAACTCCAGCTGAGTACTGATGAGTATATGTGAGTAAGGATGAGAAGAGGAAAGAATCATAAAAAAGAGATGACAGAGTCATCAAAGACTATTTAAAAATGAAAATAGTCCATGCTCCTATTAATTAGAGTGTTAAAATTCATGATACATAGGGCATGATACTGGATGAACACCTTGACTTAGGAATAGAGAGCACCAGGAATTACAAATGTGCAAGCAAATATAAAACACCTTTTCCTTATTTTTTTAAGATCTCATTAAAAGATGAGTAACTATTTAAAGCAAAAATAACAATGTACTGTATTATTTAAAGCTAATTAAGTAAAAAACCTATGATAAAAATGTTACAATTAGTAATAAGTCAACAGAAACCAATAAATTAACAAAAAATAACAAATTCATCCAACAGAAGGAAAATAAAATGTGGGCAAATGAAAAATACATTATAAGTTTACAGCCAAAGTTTATTAACAATTATATTGCATGTAAATGTATAAAAGTCAGTTAAAAGGGAGACACTATCAGAATGAAGTTTCAAGGAGCAATCTTTCAACTACTAGATTCTTTCTTCTTTTTTTTTTTTGAGTCATGGTCTTGTTAGATTGTTCAGACTGGCCTCAATTTCACAATCTCCTGCCTCAGCCTCCCAAGAAACTGAGACAGTATAGACATGTATAATGGCACCTGATTTACTTAGATCAATGGCACCTGGTTTACTTACATCATTCTTTTAAATATTTCTTAATAACTAAATAAACACTATTATTGTAAAAGGCCATGTAATAAATTGCATAAACTCAAGTCACAAATCCTGACAGTACCACAATTAAACTTATGTGACCATTTCTTTGTTCCACCTTTCATTAATCTATATAATCAATAAATACTCAGCCACTTTTCCCCAGGTACCAGGCACTGTTCTAAGCTCTGTATAGTACAAAGGTTAAAACAGCCAGAAATTCAAACACCAGTTCCAACTCCACTTTTGTGAAACTTATAAAACCTCACCCACTCTCAGTTTCTTCTCCTGTAAAACAGTGGTAAAGAATAGTCTTTACCCCATAAAGTTGAACAGTGGTGAGGATGAAGTCAAGTATACAGAACAGTGCCTGGTACCTGATATAATGTGAAAGATAGCTATTGTTTGATCTCATTTCTTAGGAGCCATTTAGGCAAAGGCTCTGCTGATCAGTGGAGTTTACCAGAAGTCCTATGACACAAAAATAAAAGAATATTATCTCAGCAATATGACCATTTCTAGAAGGGGAATGTTTTGTGGATGGGTTTTGTGAGGTAATAATAATAGCAAAGATTCAAGTAACATCAACATTTACATAGCACTTACTATGTACCAGGCATAGTGATAACAGCTTTAGAACTATTCTAAGCCTCTAGTTATGGTGAAGATGGCAATGCGGATGCCATCAACTCATTGACATTTTGGCAAAGTGTGTCATGATATGGGCAGAGATTTGTCAGTTTCTAGATTTAATGCCCTACCTTGAGCATTTTCTCATCAAAAATTGGAGTCATGGCATAAGGCATAATATAATTCTGAAGAGATTTTGAAGACATCACAACTTTGCCTTCCATTAGCTGTTTTGCCAGTTTCTTCAAGGCTCTTGCTCTTCTGTGGATCTGTGAGTAGATAGAATATGAATTAGTTACTGAATAATCTCACTTATAACCAGCTCTACCTTAGGACCACTGTCTTTTTCCATGGAAATATTAAAGGAGTCAAACACAGTCCATTTGTTACATGAGCAAACTGTACCTTGATTTACTTACAGAAATGCAACCTATAGCATTTGTTCAACAATAGGTCCCAAAGCATTGAAACTTAGGAAAAGACAGAGAAAGGTATACTATTATGATTTGTAGTTTGTGATATCATTAAAATAATCATACCCCAGGAAACGATCATCTTATTTGCAAATCTGACTAATAACAACAACCAAGGAAAGAAAAACTTATTAAACCTTTGGGGGAAGTTAAAAATATGTTTTCTAAATGAGACATATTTCCAGGCAGGGAAAAGCAGAACTGCTGTGTACCTGAATGTGCTTCATGTTCTCAAAGAAGTCCATTTCTGGATCATGGTAATGAGTAAGCTGTACCAAGTCTTTAAACTCGAGCTGATCTGGAAAGGTTTGAATTAAACAGGAAAGTACTGTGGTATAATCCTGTTGAATACTCTGCAAATCAAGAAAAATATTAAAATTTAAAACAATCTGCTTCCTAGATAAAATGAGGTGGCACCAAGAAAGCCATTAAATTAAGAACCACCACCATCACCACCACCAGCACTAAACATTTCCATTGTAAAAAAATCAAAAGTGATTGCTCCCATCTATTCCCACTCTCCTGTTAAACGTTTGGTCACTATTTCAAGTATCTTAATTAAATTAACTAAGCCTGACTCCTTTTCTACACAACAGTGGCAGAAGAATGAAAGTTTAAAACCAAACCTCAGATAAAAGTATTCAAAAGACAA